TTTTTACAAATTACCCCCCCCCCCCCAAACAAACAAAAAAAAAAAAAAAACTGCTCGATTGTTACATTTTTAGTAGTTGTTTAACTCAGAGTGTTGATGACATAAATTATTTTACTTCCTGTAATCTTGGTTTTGTAAAACCCAACTTCAGGCAATGAACGAATTTTTTGCCACTTAAGTTTTTCAACTTGTTTCTGTCTCTAGTTGTTTCTTCATTTGTCTTGTCTGCCGAGGAAGGCTCTTAGCCGAAACGTTCTTCTGTTTTCGTTTTGTCTTTTTCGATGTGTTTTTTTTTCCTCCCAATGAAATGAACAACTGTTTTGAACGGAAATATATATATATATTTTGAATAATAATAATTTTATAAACGGAATTGTGACACCCATGTTTTAAACCTCTTGATTCTCAGAATCAAGGGAACCTAAATTTCAACTAAATTTCTTCTCTTTTGCTATCTGCTTAAGTGTACATTGATGCAAAACTAAGTTTATAAATGCACCAAAAGCCAAAATGCACCCCATCATTTTGAATTTGTAAAAAAAAAAATGTTGAGGAGGGGCTTACCAAGACACTTCCCCAAACCTTACCACTTACCACCACTTTCGTTCGGCGCAACATCGATCTCTTCTTCCTCCAAAATAAAGGAACAGTACCGACACATTTTAGTCTTCAAAAAGCGCTGGATCTAAGTAGTTACAAGGATTTTTCTAATGGACTAAATTGCGCTTTTACTTAAGTTTGGTATGCATATTTGGACCTACCATAGATATACCAGAGGCGAAACTAAGTTGGGGTTAGTAGTAAAAGCATACTCTCAGGAGGCTCCACCACCAGAATGAAATTATGGTTATGTATGGCAGGGGACGACGAAGCCAGAGCTGACCGTGGGCATCAAAATACCTAATTTCGGTGCTGATAGATACCCGGCACCCCACCCCGAACGCCTGACATGCTACCCACAACTCCCCCAAGGAATAAAATTATCTGAAAGAAACTGATCCGAATGCAATGCCAACCTGGGTCATAATGCTTTTCATAGAATTACTTGAATAGTAGGATATGACAGTGCCATGCCGAGGAGAAGCGGCGTCCAGGGTGGACTAGTTAGACGATTTCGGCGCCCCTGTCTACGTGAAGTGTATGGGATTTTAATCGTTGAATTCACAATTAAAGGCCTATTTTTTAAGACGATTTTGGCGCCAAGGGCGATTGGCCCTCTCACCCCGTCCTTCCCACAGAGTATACAGAGTAATTGTGGCCCAAGGGCATTATTTTGCTCAGGCTCCCCTCTGCTGTAAAGACGTCCATGGCTGTAGGAGTTGCAGGGCCTACGCGACGACTCTGCTGCTATAATGAATGTGGCTTGAAAACGCTTCTCGTGTGAGTACCTGTGTACTAGAGCTATAGAGCCTAGTAATCCAGCGCAGTTTACTCGATTGGGTGGGTCCTGTCATAAAGAGACAATTTGCGACAATCTTTGATTTACTGAAATTTAAAAAAAAACAAAAAAACAGCCCAATATTGTCTTCTAATAGGTTGTACTCTGGATTTCCCAGGATGTGTGGATTTCTCGGCCAAGTCTTTTGGTAGCTCAAAATCGTGCGGGATCCGGGATCCCGTTGAGAAACCATAGTTCCTACACAACTGATAGGATTAATCCATCTCCAGGGGCGTGCCTGCAGGGGTTCAAGAGTGATTATCAATCATATTGTGCGCCACTTTAAAAAAAATATATATTAAAAATCAAATATGGCTTTAGCCAAATTGATGCTTTGGATCATTTGAAGAAGACATTTGTTCTAATATACAAGTGTTCTACCATCATTCTTATACATAGAAAATACACTCAATAGTTCAAAACTCCCCTTTAAAAAGTCTCGTCTTAAAATGTGGATTAGATGGTTCATTCAGTTGCTTCGATTTTCCGTGCCACTATTATGATATGTTGTGACTTTCGTACATTTTATTCAATCTCTACAAAGTCATTTTAATGATGTGATAGTTCTTTTAATTGGAAATTTTATATTTTAATTCTGTTTAATAGTGAAGAGTGTTTTAGATTAAATTTTAATTAGGTGTCAATTTTTTTTAAAAAATTGTTCGAAAGTGTGACGTACTTAGGGGGGGGGTCCAAGATTTGTGACATGGGGGGGGGGGTAGAAATGGTCAAAAATAGCGGGACGTAATTTATGGACGGCCCCTAAGAGCAAGCCGTGTGAAGAAAATAGTGGAATAAGTTATGTTTGGGCTTAAAATAATAAGACAGGACACTTTTGTTTTATTATTGTCCGTCAGACAACGCAAAAGTCCTTGGCTTTGCTCCACATTGACAGATTTTTCTGCATCTGTTTTTAATGATTATATATTTCTATGATAGCGTACATTAAAAAATAGGTTACAAAAAAAATTATAATAAAAACGATTTTCATGTTTTTTTGTTCATTTTTTTTTTAAATTTCCTCCATCTTTTGCCCTGATCACACTGTTGTTTTTTTCTGTGCGCGTGCGCTATTTTCTTGCTGCTAAATGCAAATGTAAAATGGAACAAAAGCGCCCCATTTTAAGCATTCTTTTATGAGACTAACGCTAACAAATTAAATATTCCGTCCACACCGCAGTCTTGGTATTAGGGTCGCAGTCACGTGATATTAGAGGCGCAGATGTTTTTCATCAATTATTTTCTTTGTTTCTTCTCCCTTCAAGTAAATCCGCTGGGCATTTAAATGCAATCATTTGCTCGTATTCCACCTTTACTCATTTCGTTTGATGATCTTTATTGTTAAACAATACTTTTACCAAATATATATATATATAGGCTACTTTTTTTGCATTTTTTTATAACGGTTTTAATTATTGAATGTATTGGAATTGTTTTTGTTTTTTTTGTTTTTTTAATGGTTTTACTAATCTTATATAAAATTAATTTCAAAAAGCTTGTTTTCAATACCGGTACTATTAATGTAGATGGCTCAGAAATATTTTTGTGTTACGATATATTTAATTTATTCATACCCTATCCATGTTTTATATGGTAACATAAATTATTGATGATTGTTTCAAGCTCAGTTTGAAACAAAAACCTGTACACATTCAAAAGACGCACTTCAGTGATTCCATGAAGAGGGCGCCAACCGTCCTAGCTTTGTTATAACATAAACGCGTAATGCGCCGTTTGCTCAATAGAGAGACGGCGGTGAGCCTGCCGCGCGCAGCACCGCTCGCACAGATGTTGGCTGGTGTTTGCCACAATTCAATGAATACAGCGATCGTAGTCAAAAAGAATCAGGGAGCGCTACCAAAAAACGTGCGCGTGAGCAGAGCAACAACAATGTGGAATAGCATTTGTTAACATGTCGCTATTATACATTTTGCAGGCGTACTCAAGGATAATTTATATGGTTGTTTGTTTTTTGTTTTTTATTTGGTCATAGCAGAAGGCATATTTGACAGTGATTTGCTTTTACAACGTTTGCAATTGACCGTTCGCATTTAAATTTATAAAAGTTCAAGCAACCGACCCCCCCCCACACACACACACACACTTTTCCCCCTAATTGAACAAAAATATCGTGGCTTTTGTTCCTGTCCTGACATTTTTATAACGGGTTTGTATGCCTCTCATAAGGCAGGTGGAGTTGATATGCTGTCCAATTTTGATTCCTTAAAAAATCTCAGTACTCTACTAAAAACATTTCGAAGATTAATAGAAT